TTACATTTGGAACATGTGTTAACCAATGAAGGATATGGAGATAACGAACAGTATTCAAGATCAAAGTCCATAAAACAATACAAAATAGGAGCAGAGCAAACACGGACCTTTAAAACATCAGAGATGGGATCAGGTGCCACAGAGGAGTGAGCATCCCCTGCTGACCGGTCACACCCGTCGTGTACTCCTTGTCATGATCGGGAAATAACGGAAAATCTTTCGTCAATTCCGTGTATAAATAATGGACTGACAATTAGTATGAAAAACGTCAATAAGCATTTGACTCAGAGATTAATTGTATTTGCTGACAAGGTCATTGTATCGACCAAAGAACTTACGAAATGGTGACTTTAAACGAGACTGGTGATATTCTTGTTTCATCAACTTGTTTGTCAATAATTTACCTCGTTTTAGAAATTGTTCATACGTAGAGCATCCTCTTGCGCATCGAATCAACTGAGATATATAAGGGCCGTATGCAGGTGATGAAGGTATATTGCTGCATAAGTAAGGGAAGTTGACAATAAAAAAGTTAAAGTAGTCACGTTTATGATAGAGTTTGGTTGTTAGATTTCCACTGACGTTTTTTTTTTTTCAAGTAAACAATCCAAGTATGAAACAGATGTGTCAGATTCTGTGGTATCTTTTTTCTCAGGTTCACCAGGATATATCGTATCGCCATAGGAATGGAAATAACCATTGTTAATTGACAGTACATCGTCGATATATCTAAATGTTGAGTTAACTGAAGGCCACAGCAAATGTTTTCTTCTTTTACGCATACAATTTTGCACAAATTCTGCTACATATTACTACAAAAATAGGTCTGCTAATAACGTAGCTCAATTGGTACCCATGGGAATTCCAATAGACTGTTGGAAATCAAATAAACAAATCGAATATGGCAATCATCGCTTTGGATGTAGCTAAAGAGTTCGTATATCCTAGCTACATGTAACTTCATTTTCAGGGTCAAATTAGTTTACGTCTTTTAAGATAAATCACAAAAAAGTCAATAATCACTAACAAACCAAAATCAACACTTGTTGATCTAAAATGAAAAAATAAAATACAGGTACTTAATGTCAAAAACAATTTGAAATACAAAATATATTAGAATATTTAAAACTATTCTAAAGAATTTGTTGTGGGTCAGATAAAAAAAAAACCCTAGGTCACTAGAGCTTTAAAATATCAGAGTATTTAATCTGGTGTACTACATTAAATAAACATTAATATAAAGTAAAGATATCAATATTGTTATTTTTTTCAACATTGAGATTTACACTGGAAAACGCGAAGAGCTCTCAAATCTAAATGAAAAAAAAAGATAGCAGTGTATCGATGCATCTGACTTCGGTCTCAAAGTGTTTATCACTTGAGATAAATATTAGTGTACTGAGTGGTGCTAAAAACAGCATTTTGAAATGCACAAATAAAAAGAAATTTACTAATGTGAAGAAAAATCTAAATTTACTTTATTCTTAATGATGATTACAGTCAAAGAGCAGTTGGTCTTTATCTTATGATAAAATCCAAGGCAAAAATTACAAGAGATGTGCACTATTCATTTATATGTTCAATATTTGGTATTTAAGCTATATTGTGACTCTGTTGTGATCTGACTTTGTTACTTCAAACGTAGCAGTCCATTAATTGTTATTGACAAAATAAACCCAGGTGATCTTAAAATAAAAAGATGCCACAGAGTCTGACGCATCTCTTTCATATTTGTATATATTTCTAAAAAAAAATTATGGTAATAAATCTAACAAAACTTTATGATAACCATAATGACTTTACTTTTTCAATCGTCAACTTCCCTTACTTTTGCAGCAATACGCCTTTATCACCTGCATTCGGGGTTTATTTCTCTTAGTTCATTCAATAGACAGCAGCATGCAACAATACATCAACAATTTTTAAAACAAGTTAAGGTATTGACAAACAACGTTATAGGTAACACGAATATCAGCAGTCTCTTTTAAAGACATCATTTCGTAAGTTCTATGGTCGACACAATATTTATGACTTTGTCAGCAAATACAGTGTATCAGTAAGTCAAACGCTAACTGAGGTTTTGCTAATCGTTAGGCCATAATTACTGTCGCCGGATTTTTCATAATTTCCCGATCTGATAAGGAGCACACGGCTTGTGTGACCGATCGGCAGGTGATGCGGATTCCTCCATGGCACCTGATCCCAGCTCTGATGTTTCTTTGGTCCGTATTGGCTGTGCTTCAATTAGTATTGTTTAATTGACTTTTGAGTTTGAATACTTTTCGTTATCTTCCTATATTCCATTCTGTTGTCCTTTAAAATAAAGATTTGTGTTAAGGAGCATTTTAATGTGATAATTTATACTGTTCTGTGGTAAGAGAAACACAATTCATGTCTACCAAATGATTTTGAAATTAAAAATAACACAATCGTGTCTGTATACCGATCTCGAAATTAATTCTTACATCCGGTATTTTTTTTAAAGTGAAGATAACGAACATAGATCGATAGATCTACAAACAACAATACAGTTCTATATACGGGGCTTACATGCATCTCTGGCAATTCCAAAATTGGAATAAGGTGCCCGTGAGGAGTAAACATCCCCTGTAGACCTGTCACATAAAAAAGCCAACCCATTGGTATGTATCAATGCAGTGAAAATACGACCCAATGCTACTGACTATTATAAGTTTTCAGAACTTGTGCCCAATCCCTTTGTAATTATATTACAATAAAATATGTTCAAACCAACTGACTACTGAGTATGAAATCCCTAAAATAACAACTTATGTGTGAGTAGCATGCCTTGGTTTTAGTAATTGATCGTTATCAGGGCATGCTTTTGAGTAGCGAATAACCTGTTAAGACATATACTAGTGATGGCGGAATATTACTATAAAAATAACAAAAGCTGATGATGGAAAAGTTGAAGACATCTCGTTTATTTTAAAATTTAGTTTTTAGATGGTCTTTCTCGTCTATAGTCGGTAAACAATCCAAATATGGAACATATGGGACATAACTTGATGTTTATCAAGTTCACTGGGATGTAAAAAATTGAAATATAGATGGAAAAATCTATTATAAATTGGTAAATCGTTGTCGATATATTTATATCTGAATGTCAACTTGAAGGCCAATGCATGTTTTTGTCTTCTTGTCAAGTATATTTTTAAAATGTCTGCTTTGTATATGAGCATAATTAGTATCTACCATGGAAAACTGTGATTTAATTAAACTGTATATGAGAGCACATTTTTAAATTAATAAAACTCAAAGCAAGACAATCCTTTAAAAAAATTGGTTGATCTCTCTCGCCTTACTGAATAAATTTGACCGACTAAAATTGTTTTAAATAACTTCCAGTAAACCTTTTTTTATTTCGATAAAAAGATTTTTAAAACTCAGCACTGATGTTAAAATTTTCTGTGAAAAAATAAATTTCACCTACTTAGTCTAAAGATTGCAAACAAGCATTATTTTTTATGTTCACCTCGCGGAAATTAGAATATTACTATTCAATTCAGAAAAAAAATGTTTTTTCATAGTACAGATCCATAGTGCATAATGATGTGGAAAAGTATTGAATTATTAAAATGACAAGTTAGGAAATAAAGCTATTAGAGATTTTCACTGAGACTGATTTGTCCACTTGATTTGTTGTCATATGTGAATCATACATCATAGGTGGAATTCAATTATTTTCATACATTTTTCTTTAAGTCTATTTCGCTAACAGGTATAAAATGGAGGGAAAAAAAAATTGGTATTTAAAATTGTGCAATAAAAAAACAATGTTGATGTCATGTTTAAAGTTTAAAGAAAATAAGAAAAATGTAGCGATACTTTACAAAAACAAACTTTAGATGAAAAACTTATCATTAGAGAACGTTTCTGTTTTAAATGTTTTTTTTTTTTTTTGCGTTTGATAATTTACAAAAAAAAATGTACAATGTAAATGGAAGATGTTTATAAATAAGATGGAAGTCGCTTATGCTGTATATATTTTTTTTTATAGAAAATTGCTATCAAACTATTTTATTTTAACAGTATTTATTTTCAAATGCCATAACATAATTTTGGAGGAAACTACAAATTAAAATCTAACGCAGATGTTTTCTGAAAGGAACGGGTTATGTGGGGTCCTTGAAAAAATGCATATTGGGCGAGGCGTAAGCCGAGGGTAGGCTATATATCAAGAATTATACAAAAGACATATACTAGTATATCAAACACAATGTGTATAATCTATTTATATTTATATATAGAAAGAAAAGTCAAGAAAAAGCTTCATTACTCATTGCTAATAATACATAAAAATTGAACTTCGGAATGTATCTGTTGTCTATCAGTTGGAATGTAATTCTTTGTTCCATTTTAAAAATAATATTAGTTTCATGGCAAACTTCTATAATTCAAAGTGTGTTTATGACGTGTTTATGAAGTGTTTTGTAATGGTAAGTCCTTGAAGTACTTGGAGAATTTGATTAAACGTTACATTGGGCATCCATTACGATCGATGAAAGAAGTAACTACTATCAAACACCAATTCATCTGAATTCCTGCAATATTCGAATAGGTTTCCTATGATTTTTGTAATTGTTTGTTTAATCAAGAATTGCAAGGCTTAATATAATTCTTAAACAATAGATAATCCAAAGTTGTTTTTTTTTTTAAATTAACATTACTCTCTTAGACTTGCTTAGTCGTTTTTAGTATCAAAAAGTACAATTTCTTGCTTATTCCCGAAATGCAAGTTATTTAATCCAATGAAATGAAATCCAAAGTTGTTCAGATAGATTGATAATTTTTGTTTCTTTGATAATTACTAGTATACTTGATTTTACAGATCTCTTTATAAAAAGATTGCAAGCTATTGTTCTTATTCAAAGAAAGTACCATGTAATTTCAGACAATAATGCTATTTTTAGAATCAAAATAAAAACATTACAAAATGAATTTAAAAATCAATCAACAAGAACTTATATTTTACTTACTTATAAACAATGCTTTTAAAATTCCATCCTTTAGTTATGAGATATTGCGTTTTTACTTGTCGAAGCAAGGGGCACCGCTGGTCAAATGATACGCTTATCGAGTTACACTGATCGACTCAGTTCGTGAAGTCAACATCAATAAACATCACAAGCCAAATTTTATCTAGTAAAAAACTAACAGTCCGCGGGCTGTCACGGAATTCTAACGGATATTATTTTATCCACCGAGTGTTTGATTATACTCTACCTTCCAGCCGGATTGCTTTTGATTCTCCCACATTTGTGAGTTGAATTCTTTTTGTTTTCTTTGCACGTGTCGCTCCTCTTTCGTACTCTGAAAACACTTACTTAAGCCATGGAATATAATGAATAAGCCACCTCAATTGTTTGCAGGATACTTTCAATTTATGATATAATAATACTGTAAAACATTGAACATACTACTTCAATTGCTTGAACTGAAACGTACATGAATCATGATTTACATATGCAAATCCAACATAACCACCTCATCTTCACAATCATAAATTTAAATTTCAATGCATTGTCATTCACAAAGCTTTAAAAAATACTTCCAGTATCTATGTAGTAATATGTCCTATTTTAATCGCCTGCACATTGAGTTTACGTATCTAATCTGATCCATGTTTTGAGTACTATCAATTTTAAACCAAGACAGCTATTGTAAAATACGTTAACGTTACAGAGCTGTCTTCATTCTCTTTTAATGTAAGCAATTCGCAAATTCTTTAATCGTTCTAAGAAAAAAATATATCGTTGAGTAATATTTAGTGCATGCTTGATATCAAGTTTTTTTATCAGTTTTGAAAACATATTACTCCGTTTACCTGAAGAATACAAAAGGTTCCGGCGAGTTGTACCTGCCGATAGAGAATACTATCTCTTTCTTAGAAATGGGATTGATCAATGTTCTTTATTTTAACTTTTTTTCAAAGACCTCAAAATCAAAATTACTGTTTATCATCATTATAGACACATACTGATGATGTTCCTTTTAATATCTGTGTAAACTGATAAATGACAATTTGACACAGACTTTCACCATTGTCAGTTGCCCCAAAAATCATATCATATATATTATCACATCAAAAATACTTATCAAGCACTAGTAATTTGAAAACAAAATACTCTTGGCACCACTTTTATTTTCCTTCAATGAGTGAAATGTGAAGCCATAAAATGTAATATTTTTATTTATCAATCTCAATGATAATGTTCCCATTTCTAGCATCATAAATTTGGGAATGTTCATAAACATATTCCCACTTTGTTCTTAAATATGTGTATACGTACTATAAACTTTTTTGAAGCTGGAAATGAAAAGTTTTCTTCAGCACGAATAAAATATTTTTCTTAAAGTTGTGTCATGAAACACGTGTATGCCAAATCCACTGAGATTTGTTTGCCTAATATAATTACAGAGAGATGCAGTGTCAAAGAAGAATAAAATCATTATAAAATCTTCATAAAAGTTTGTTAGAGCTTCTAACGGTATTTCAGTTCAGTTTTTTTTTTACCCACAATATTGATTTATGTTCTTATAACACAATTATATCAGTAAACATGGAGACTTGATTATCGCCAGAAAAGTGTTCAGTCTGTGTACTTCTTATCATCCATTCATTCCCTTTGTCATGATTATAAATATTTACTGAGTGTTTTGTATCAGATTTGTTATTTTTAAGTAAGTTTCTTGTAATCAATAACTTCAATTAACCTTTCACATCTTCGCAAGCCAAGGGTTTTCGGTCCGCTCCGCTCCACACAAACTGAGTGGAGCAGAGCGGACCGAAAACCCTTGGATGCTATAAAGAACCTTTCAAGATTGGAGAAAAGTGTCGATGAACTTATAAAGTATTTCGTTTTGAATCATTTTTTACTGGAAGAAATTGCATTTTATGGGGGAAAAATATATGTATATATATTTGACCGACTTTTGTAGCAGTTCATTTTTTAAAAGCATAATGTAATTTAATAAGGACTTCGTTGCAAGAGTTTTTGTATACCAATATCGTCTTTATCTTAACGAGATAGCTTGGCTTGAGTTTTTTGTCATCAATCATTTGTATTCTGACTAAATGACAACAGTCAATCTATGCTGCTTATGTTTAATTGGTTTATGGTTTTACAAAATTCAATTTACATGACTCCAAAACAATTACAATTGCCCTTGAGAAATAAATTCAAGTTATTCTTGCTCGTTTATAGGAAAATGATATCAACAGACGGAATCTTGATCATGAAAAACCTCTCTCTCTCTCTCTCTCAGATAAGGTTTAGGATAACCTTTTTTCTGAGAAAACTACAATTATATAACGCATTTATTTCCACAAAATTCACTACTTATAACACATTAAACTGAATTCAGAGAGTATTGGGGAAAAAGCATGAAATATACGGAAATAACGAACAGTATTCAAGCTCAGAAGTCCATAAGACAAAATAGGAGAAGAGCAAACACGGACTTCCAAAACATAAGAGGTGGGATCAGGTACCATAGAGGAGTTAGCATCCCCTGCCGACCGGTCACACCCGCCGTGTGCTCCTTGTCATGATCAGGAAATAACGAAAAAATCCGTCGTCAATTCAGTGTGTAAATAGTGGACTAATAATTGGTATGAAAAACGTCAGTCAGCATTTGTATTTGCTAACAAGGTCATTGTATGGACCAGATAATTTACGAAATGATGACTTTACACGAGACTTGATATTCTTGTTTCATCAACTTGTTTATCAATCATTTACGTCGTTTTAAAATTGTATATACGTAAAGCATGCTCTTGCGTATGAAGCAAAAAAAAAATATGTACACATACATGTATTTTTGTATTACGCATGATTTACTGGCTCTCAACTCTGTATTAACTGAAAGGTTTAAAAGACCAGAATTTTTGGTTTGGCATATTGAAATTTTTCTTAAAGAAATTAAATATTGTATATTGCATTTCTTGAATAAAAACTGGAATTTTGTCATGTTGAAGATTTTTATCTCCCAAAAGTAATAATGAAATACCTCAGAAAGACACCAAAATTACCTAATAATTTGAGCCTGGCTTAGAAAGATTACATTAATGCTTAACATCATTAGTGCGGGTTCTATCCGACACCACGTTTAATCAAATTAAGGGTGCAAACAATGATCTTCAAATACCTACACTGTGTAAATTTCCTGAATAAATTATTCTTTCATTTTCAGGTCTCTGTCGGAATAGGAAAGAAATTGTTATACTTGGCGGTTAAATTAACAATTCTATCTTTAATTATTACGTCTCTAAAAAGAATACTTTCTTCCCCGTCTTTGTAATTTTGACTTTGCAGTAAATTTTACTATATATATAGCTATGATTACGACTTAGAAAATGTTACTGTATTTATGAATTGTGAATTGAAAATCAGTTCCCGATTCTAGCAAAATAAAGTTTTAACCAAAAGCCCTTATGAAACTGTTACAGTAAATCTACTGGACAGCTATGATCAGGTATGTTATAAGAATAGCGCGAAAAATATATTCCAACGAGTCTTGAATTATTTTTAGTGTTGTATCAATTACAGAACTAATCATGGGTTGTTGTTGTTGTTTTTTTTTTGTTTTTTTTTGTGTGTGTGAGGGTGTGTGTGTGTGTGTGTGTTTTTTTTGTGTTGTCTCCTAGCTTGCATTTATTTGGCCAAAACCGTAGTATTTATATATCATTTTAGCCACATGTTTGTGGTGAATTTTTAAAATGTCACCAGCGGTGCAAGATGCGTGTAATTTTAGAGTATGTCGAGCTATTTGATATTTGAACATTTTACTTGAGAACAACATCGATTGCAAACTGACACCAAAACGTTTAAATTACTTACTTTTCTATCGTCGCCTACTCTGATATACAAGGGAATATACCCTTGACATCTGCATAAAAAGTTTTTCTCCCACTCAGTCCGATACACAAAAACAATAAACAATTGATAAAAAGAGACAGACATTATCGACAAAAAACTTGATGTTCCAAGGATGTTAATAATCTCCTTTAAAGTCAATATTTCAACATGTTTTGTAGATACAGTGACCTTGTTGCTAATATGATCCGTCGTAAAGAAGAATATTGACAAATTATAAGCCAATATTGTTCTGTAAAACGAATGAAGATTTTTTCTCTTTATCTGATTAAGACTTTTACTGAATTAAGAGAGACGGACGGTACTGGAGAAAACATGAAATTTATGGAGATAACGAACAGTATTCAATCTAGCTCAAAAACCCATAATATTCAAAATAGGAGCAGACGGCGGGTGTTGCTTTTTGATAGGGGATGCTTTTTCCTGAATGGCAACTGATCCCATCTTTTTTTCAGAGATCTGCACTGCCTCTATCGATAATTTTCATAGCTAAAATAATTTTGAAAATGATAACTTATGATTACTGTTGCTCAAATAGTAAACAATATTTTAGTTTCGAAAGGCAAAAACATGATATAATCAAATGACATTCTTTTCTTATAATATTCATGAAATTTTTGTGATTTATTATTTTCTCTGATACCATTGTAAGAGATAAAGAGGGACCTAGATGTAGCTAATTATTTCCAATGTAGAATTGCTGTACATCTTATCGTTAGTTTACAGCGAGGCGTATCTAAACCTCAGTGGTTATTGTTGCGCTCTTCAAAGCCTTGATACGAACATAATGGACCCCAGTTTCGAAATATATGCAAAGATAAAATGATAGACTATTAATGGGTTTCAATTTGAACTGCGTTCTTTTTCTGCATCACTGATTATGTGAGATAGAGGGTCTGTAGAAAAGTACCTACAGTGAACTATTGTACATTACATGTCAGTTCAAGGATATTCATCACAATTAAAACTTGCTTCATTTTTTTCAGGATTTATTATCATATCTTATATATGAAACCTTACTGGAAGATTAAAAACATTGAAAAAAAAAAAAAAACATATACAAAATATAAAAAGTTTTTTTTATTTTGATATTGCAGGGAATGAGGATGATATGCTTTATACTACTGAAGACAACCAGATCCATTGAATATGCAGCAATTTGGGATGGCATCCTTTTACATAG